TTATCCGGATTTATCACCCCCACGGGCTATAACCCCCCCAGGTTATCCCCCTCCTCAGATTATCCCCTTTTCCCGTGGTTATCTTCCCCACCGACTCACCTTCCTCCCCGAACTCCCCGCAGTTTATCCACTCTGGAATCTCCCCCACCCTGGGGGTGATCCCCCCATCCCGGCTGTTTCTCCCCCTCCCCGGGGGTGATCCCCCCATCCCGGCTGTTTCTCCCCCACTCTTGGGGGTGATCCCCCCATCCCGGCTGTTTCTCCCCGTCCCGCAGCTCCCGTCCCCTCCGGGGCGCTGCCGTCCGTTCCCGTGTGTCCTGCGGCGGGAGGAGCCGCTGCCGGTGAGCGGGGTCGGGGCTGGGGGGGTCCCGGGGTGGGGTCCCCGAGCCCGGCACTGACCGATCCCCCCCTGCCCCTCTCCATCAGCGACCCGCGCTGCGCCCCTGAGCGGAACCAGCGACCCCCGCGGGACCGAACCGGGACCACCCGTGGGGAATAAAAGGGGCTGGGGGGGATCTGTGAGCACTGGTGGTGATGGGGGCTCCTCCGGGGGGTGAGGGGGTGGCAGGTGTGCCTTGGGGACAGTGGTGTCCCGTGGGGACAATGGTGTCCTGTGGGTGGGATGCATCCCCAGGGGGATGCTGTGTCCCTTGGGGGTGTCTGAGAAGGGGATATCGTGTCCCCTGTGTCCCGTGGATTGGGGGTTGTGTCCCCAGGGGGATGCTGTGTCTCTTGCGGGTATCTGAGAAGGGGATGTCGTGTCCCCTGTCCCGTGGAGTGCGGGTTGTGTCGTGTCTTTTGCGGTGCCGTGTCTCGTGGGCTGTTCCCTGGGGGATTTCTTTTCCTTAGGGGTCCGCGTCCGTGTCCGGCGGGGGCTCTGCCCTGTCCCCGTGTCCCTATCCCTGTGTCCCTGTCCCGTGGGGGGATCAGTTTCACAAGGGGGTGTCTCTGCCCCATGCGTGTCCGTGTCCCTTTCCCGTGTAGGGCGTCTCTGTCCCACGGATGCCCGTGTCCCGTGGGGTATCCCTGCCCCTGTCCCTGTGTCCCACGGGTGTCCCTGTCCCGTGCAGGGTGCCCGTGTCCCGTGTGGGTGTCCCTGCCTCGTAAGCGTCCCTGTCCGTGCGTCCCATGGGTGTCCCTGTCCCACGCATGTCCCTGTCCATGCCCGTGTCCCTGTCCCCCTCCCTTCCGGACTCCATTTCCCATCAGGCCCCGCTCCCTTCTCCCTTCCCGTGGTGCCGCGCGCTCGGGCCCGCGCGGTGACGTCACTCGGCGCGCCGTGACGTCACTGCCGCGCCGCCATGCTGCCGGCGCTGAGGCGCTGCCGCCCGGGGCCCGTCCCGCTCCCGGCCCTGGCGGCCGCGCTGGGGCCCGGCCCGTTCCCGGGGCTCTGTCCCGGCTGGTCCCCGCGGGCGGTGCCGGCGCGGGGCCGCAAATCCCGGCACGATCCCCCCGCCAAGTCCAAGGCGGGCCGGGTGAAGCTGCCGCCGCCCGTGGACCCCGAGGAGCTGCTGGTGGTGCTGGAGCGGTACCGGCAGCACCGGCTGGTGCTCAACGCCCTCCGGTACCGGCACGGGATGGGGATGGGTTGTGGGGCAGCGCAGGGTTGGGCTGTGACGATGGAGATGGAGTGTTTGGGGGCTGGAGCTATGGGGCTGCTGTGGGGCAGGGGAGGATCCGGTATGGGTTGGTCTGGGACTGGTGCTGGGGTGCAGAGGAGAGCTGGGGGTGGCTGTGGGTTTGGGTCAGGGACTGGGATGAGGCAGAGGAGAGCTCGGGGTGGTCGTGGGTTTGGGTAAGGGACTGGGGAGGGTCGAAGGGCGGGTACAGGGCAGGGAGCTGGGTGTGTGGTTTCTGGGGGCTGACTGGACTGGGTACAGGATTGGCTGGAGGGTTGGGGTCTGGGTGTAGGGCTGTGAGGCTGCTGTGGGGCAGGGGAAGGTTGGGGTTGGATGTGGGGCTGGGTAAGGTGCTGGGGGCTGGGTGAGGTGAGGGGGGCTGATGTGGAACAAGAGAGGGTTGGTGGCTGGGTGTGGGACTGGCTGTGGGGTGGGAGGTTGGATCTGGGGCTGTGAGGAAGGGGAGTGGCCACTTGGGACTGCTGTGGGACTGTGGAGGGTTGGGTGTGGGGCACTTTGTAACAGGAGCAGGCAGATCCTGGCGTACTGGGTTTAGGAAGGGGTGTTGGGTCTGATGCTGGTGTGGGGCAGAGGAGGGTCAGGGCGGTGGGATGAGACCTCTGTGGGATAGGGTGCTGGGCCTGGCTCTGCTATGGGGCAGTCTGTGCTGGCAGCCCCGGGCAGGAGCTGAGTGCCCTCCCTTCCTGACAGGGCGGAGTTCAGGGCCGAGGTGCTGCAGAAGAAGCGGGAGGAGCGCCTGGCTGCCGAGGGCTCGCTGGAGGAGCAGGAGGAGCACCGGCGCCTGATGGCCTGGAACGATGAGGAGAACGCCCGGCAGCGGGCACGCAGGTCAGCACAGCCCTGCAGGGCCTGGCAACCCTGCCCTGCTGCCTCTGGCTGCTGCTCAGGCACCACCGAGCTCCCTACAGTCTGCTCTGGTATTTGCAGAGAAGCTTGGGCAGGGTCACTGTGGGCTGGGTTAGGAGCTGTTCATGGTGGGGAATGGTCACATCCAGTCGCCAGTGGTGTCCCCAGGGATCAGGGCTGGGCCCAGTCCTGTTTAACATCCTTAACATCAGGATGAAGGGATCGAGTTCACCATCAGCAGATTTGCAGGTGACACCAAGCTGGGTGTGAGTGGCTGTGCTGCAGGGCAGGAGGGACCTGCACAGGCTGGATCTAGGGACTGAATCCAAGGATATGAGGTTTAACAAGACCAAGTGCCAGGTCCTGCACTTTGAGCACAGCAACCCCTGCTGGGGACAGAGTGGCTGGACAGCAGCCAGGCAGAAAGGGTCCTGGGGGCAGTGATGGACAGCAGGCTGTGCCCTGGTGACCAAGGAGACCAATGACCCCTGGCCTGGATCAGGAATGGTGTGGCCAGCAGGAGCAGGGAAGGGATTTTTCCCCTGTGCTCAGCACTGGTGAGGCCTCTCCTCAAGTGCTGTGTCCAGTTCCTTACCCTCAGTTTAGGAAGGACGTTGAGATCCTGGAGTGTGGCCAGGGAAAGGCAGTAAAGCTGGGGAGGGGTCTGGAACACAAGGCCTGGTAGGAGCAGCTGGCGGGGCTCAGCCTGGGCAAAAGGAGGCTCAAGAGAGACCTTGTCACTCTCCACAACTCCCTGACAGGAGGGTGCAGCCAGGAAGGGTCAGGATCTGCTCCCTGGGAGCAGAGGACACAGCCTTCTCCACGCTAGTTGATTCTGGGAAATCCTGACCTTTTAAAATGAATTTGCCTGTGCAGCTGTCGTGGTTCCTGTGCCTTTTGCTGCTGAGGGCCAAGTCAGGGTGCTCTGGGCAGCCTCCTTCTCTCCTGGGGATGGAAGTGTCACCTCATCCATCAGGTTTTCCTTTCTGTCTGGCAGAGAGGAGAGACTCAGGAAACAAGAGGAGGAGGAGAAGAGGAAGAAGTTAGAGATTGCAGAGAAACAGGCCAGGAAAATGGAGGCTTTCATGGAGGAGAAGGAGAAAGAGGTTCTCCAGCTGCAGGTAAGAGCAGCTGGTGCCTCC